GATTAATCTGTTTTTAAAAGTTGCATGTCTATAATTTCATATAGTTCATTCCAATATTGAAAACATGGTTGAGCCAAGATTTAATCTAGACCTATGGCTTCATGGCTACATTAACTTTGTCAAGGCCCCTGGCTCACTTTGGATCATCTGCTAGGTCTCAGGGAGGAGGCATGGAGGACTCAGAAAGGTCATGGGAGCCCAGCGACCTGGGTCAGTCAGAGAGGGCTAAATGATTCTCCTGTTTGGAATGAGTCCTTCAGTGGTCTAGATAAGTGACACTTAGAAAGTAATAGGACAGCCCTGATTTATCCTTTCTCTAATCCAAAAGAATAGGAAGATGTCAATATGAAATGAAGAAGGTAGGTGGGAGAGATTGGGAAGAGGGTAGAAATGAGCGGTGTTCTCTCTCAATCTCTCAGCAACAAGTTGCATTTTGTTCAACACCAACCTTCATTCTTCGTGGCATCCATATTAAAGTTGGAAAAATAGGCCCTTAGTAGAAGTAACCTAATTAACAAAGCTATTTTGCTTGCCACCAACTAATCCCCTAAACAAGGGTTGCCCTCTGCTCCTGGGACTTCTTACCTGGCATTGGGTTTAGGACACCAGGGATCTTGGTCGGGTTACATAAACCACCTGTGAAAGATTGGTTCTGTCCCTTCCCCTCCTTGTTTACCGTTTTGATTACCGCCACCTCCTCCGCTCCCAGCTATGGAGGGGATTTAACAAGATGACACAGAAGTTTCAGGGTCTCCCACCATCATTCCCCATATGTCTTGACTGTCCCTAACTGGCTTTGGAATACTGCTAAGTGTTAGTGGCCCCAGAGACTCACCTTTCCTTCCATTGTCCTAATGTCTCCAGTGGATCAGAATAGCTCCTTGGAGGGGCCCCCTTGCTCACTGCTTAGAAGTCACTGGTTAGGGCAGGATGAGAGGAACATTCTTTGGCATGCCCTTTTAGTCCAAACATCATGTGATTTCATGGCACCCCTCCAACCTGGAGCTGTAATGAGGCCAGCAGCCTCTGGCTCCCACAGTCACTGCTTGTTCCGGGTAGATCCCACGGTGGCTTCCCCACGGTCCCTGGCATCCATGGGAAAGGAATGCGGCCTGAGAGAAGAGCTTCCACACAAGCAGAAATACCCACGTGCCCTTCGGCACATTCACGAGCACCAGCAACATGGAATTCCT